GACATATACCCGATACAGTTTTATTACTCATCAGGATGTCTACCAGCCTACCCTCAAAATGAAAAATTTTAAGGCAGGATTAGAGTAAATTAATCTATGAGACCTTAGCATGGTCAATGGACCTCCTGAGTCCAAAACTGTAATTATATCTCAAATCGGTCAATATATGACGGAGGTATGAGCTAAAAGTTTGTACTTGAAAAAAATAAAATAAAATTCAGAGCCGTTCTATGACCCGCTATGCCGCGGCTATAAAAGGATGTCACAAAAGGATATAAGGAAGTGTTTCAAGACGTAGTAGTAATAATTAATTAGAACTTTTAGCTGAATACAAATGTTACACAAGATATCGAGGAGTTTTTGTTTAAAGAAGTAAAATATGGTTTTGAACTGTAATAGCAGGATGTTTATTGAATATTGTTGCGTCAGCGAGGTCACGTGACTAGTATCACGCTACCTGTTTCTAGAAATATCCTGTTCCTTCATGAATGCCCTAGCATTTACTAGGTATGTGTTAGTCTTGTATATAAGACCGGCCACGAAGCGACGGGGAAAATGAGTAATTGAACTGCAGTCAGAGAGTGTGTAATTGAGTATTGTTGAAGTCGAGCACGTGAGACGTTTGTTATAGTGCGACTGTTGAAATTAAGTGTATCGCAAAGTTATATTCAGAAAGAATAAACCAGTTTTATTAAGAAAGGACTTGTGTCGCTAAAGTTTCGTCGGAACGAAGTTACGGAAAATTAACTAACGACTGGAGGCGTAAAAATATGTTTGAAATAACGTAACACCGTTGTGCAAAATTTTCCAAAGCAATATAGTTTTGCACATAGAAAGAACGAAAAGTGGTTCTTTTTTTATATATAAATGAAGAAAAATTGAATATGTTGGAAGATCAGAAATGTAGATTGTATTATGTACAAAAGGCAAATCTGATGTATACTTTAAAACCTCTGATATTTAGGTATTACAGTGTAGTGGGACTACTTGGTAGGCCTGATTTTTAGGTAGTACAGTGCAGTGAGACTTCTTGGTAGGCCTGACGATTAGGTAGTACAGTGCAGTGAGAGTTTTTAGTAGGCCTGATGTTTAGGTAGTACTGTACAATGAGAGTTTTTAGTAGGCCTGATGCAGTGGTGGGATTCAGCCGGTTTGCACCGGTTCGTGCGAACCTGTTCTTAGAATTTAATGACCTCCACGAACCGGTTGTTAACAATCGTATGTATAGGCTTAATAATAACGTTACAACTTACAAGTACGAGTGTTTACAACGCAACTTTACTAGCAGGCTAGGCGGACTAGGTCTACTAGATCTCTGATGAATCATTTGCCAGCAGGTAAGTGTTTTTTTTTATACAGATTCT